TTGATGATACCATTGCGGTTTACGAAGTTTGACTGACGATAAAGCAAACAGATCCCTGTCCGCACTCAATTTTTTTTTTAAATTACATATTCAGAAACTACATTAAATTCTTCACAAAGTCGCAAACACCTGGATTAAATTTGATTAAAATTTGATACATAAAGTAAGAGATTAAGAGTGATTTGTGTTGACCAAGTGAATAAGAATTCGTACCATCAAATTGGGACGGAGGTAGTATTTGATAACTAATGCACTCTTTTATGTCTTTATATATATTTAAAGAAAAATTGATAAGAATAATCCCACTTTTCACTGGTCTTCTCATAATAATCCCACCTTTAAATAATCCTACCTTTGCACCTCATTTTCTTTCATTGGATCCTTTTTTTGAAAATCTTATATAAATAATCTCACCTTTGTAGATCATCAATAGGTCAGGGTCTAATGAAAGAAGATGAGATACAAATGTGGGATTATTCTTGGATTACGTAAAGGTGAGATTATTATGAGAAGACAGTGAAAAGTGTGATTATTTTTGTCAATTTTTCCTATATTTAACCTTCTGCTAGAGTGATACCAATATAAAAAATATATTTTATATGACTTTCTTAATTCTTAAATCGTAATACTATTATAGGTAGTTGCAGATTTTAGATTGTTAATTTTAACAGTTAACACAAATACAATAATTCAAAATAACATTTTTTTAGGAAAAAAATTCACAATAACATTTTTGCACGTACAAAGAATACAATAATTATTAGTCAAGTTACTCAATACTACGTATTAAACACTTAGAGAAATTGAGAAACCAGCTGTCGTCCTTCGTTCTCCACTTTCCTGCTACGGAGTATAAGATACTCAGTTGGAAGTATGCGGTATTACGTTCGAGGCATGGGTTAATGGGGGCATTTAATTTTTTTGATTGGGGGCATTAATATGGGCTGGACTTTTCCTATTCTAATATAGGTGATAATTGGCAGTTTATTGGGGGCAGCTGCCCCCCATACCTAAGCTTTGCATCCGCCCCTGCGCGTGGGTAACCCGGATAGCCTCGGCCCAGATACCTGTCTCGAATGGCTTGCCCCAGACGGGCTAGGGATGCAACAATTGGAACTCTAGCCTACAGCTTTCACGTTGTTGGTCTGTCTTATCAGGGATTTGACGAGAAGTTTGGATTGACAGGAAGCACATTTAATGCAGAGAGATTTATGGTTGGAGTTAAGCCCGTGACGTCATCTCCAGACCTACTACCTTATCATTTAAATACTCACATGTATCAACACAGAAGTTTGATCTTTAATATATTTAATTCCCTATTAGTGAAAAAATTAAAAAAATTAAATCATGAAATTTAAAAAGATAGGAAATTAAAAACTTTTTCAAAACTCAACTTTTAATACATAAATAAATGAAATATCATCACAATAGAGCATGTGAATAGTGCAAAAATTCCACATGTAAGCAACTAAAAAGGAACACATGTAAAAACTCAATTTGTCTCACAATTGTAAATTTGAGCTAGTAAACTATATATTGATTAAAATCTTGGATTATTCGTTTTAACATCATATTAATTACATAGTCAAATTTTGAGCATTCAGAAGCACTTTTGCACTTTTATCCAAACACTCTCACATCTGCTTTATGCTCTTTCAGGAATAGAAGCAGATTTGAGAGCGTTTTCCAATGGAAGCAGAAGCAAAAGTAGAAGTAGAAGAAGATAGGGATCATCATTTAGCCTGTGGGCTCATGACTAATGAGCCTGTGGGGGCCTACCCATCACATTTTCCAAAAAGCCCAGCCCAGCCCAGCCCAGCCCAATCCACCATTGAAGGGGTGGGCATGGGGTAGAGTATGTGAAACCTGGCCCAACCCATTGGCCCGACACGTCATGAATCATCTCGACCCAGCCTATTAAACTCAGCCCAGAAGCCCTCCTATTCGCGTTTTTGGAAAAAGAAGCCGTTCTACATTATTAATTTAATACACTAACTTCATAATTAAGTAGTAATATATAAAAGTAATGAGTAATAGTAGAAGAGAATGAAGTTAATTATAGATGATTTAGGTGATAAAAAATTGTGTTACATTTGGTGAGTTTAGAGAATTCTTTATGCATGACAAAATACAATGTAATTAATTACACGAGTGAAAAGAATTTACTAGTTAAAAATGCAATAACAAACTGAAAGTTCAAATTATCTATATCTATGTTTTAGGTGGTGCACACTAGCTCGAAAAAGAGATGACATGTGGCCAGACGGTGGGCAGAGAAGAGTAAATATTACTCCATGCATGCCAGAGAAGAGTAAATTTATCCTCAATGATGCATCATAAATTTAAACGGGAACTTCAATTAGAGCTCGTTTGGTAACATCATTGTTCTAGAAATAGATCTAGTCGGCCTGATTATTAATCAGCGCCTAGGCACTAGGCGGCCCTAGACTGTGAAGGACTAATCAGTCTAGCCGGTAAAAAAATTGGCCTAGTCAGCGCCTAATCGGTGCCTAAATGTTGGGTGCCCTTCAATTGCCCGGCTAGGGCCTAACGAGTTCTAAAATAGAGGGTACCACTTCTATTTAAAAATACTCGAGCTCAAAACGATATTTAAATATACTCGAACTCAAAACGATATTGTTTTAGACATATGGTTTAAATAATACTACGTATTACGCTTTTTATTCAACACAATAATGTTTCTTTCTAATAGTTTATGCAAAAGAAGTACATCTGTACACGAAATTTTTATACACTTGACATACATTTGTGCATAGTTATCTGCGCACATAGATATTGTGCACATCCTCTAGTTACTTGTGTACACAGCTAACTCGTACAACATTATTTGTGTACGTAAGTAGATAATTACGTTCAAATGTGTGACAAGTGTATACAAATTTTATGTACACCCAGAATCTATCGTTGTATATATACAAAGGGGGTGTTTGAATCTGATTTTACTTCTGCTTCTTTTTTAAAAACAAAAACATTATCAGAATCAATTTTCAGAATCTGGTTTTCCCCAACTTCTAAAAAACTGCTTTTACAAGCAATTTTGAGACCCAAAAGTTCTTCTACACTTTCAATCAAACACTCATACTACATGATAACTTACTACGTATTACGTAATTATTAATACTGCTGTTTATTTTCGTGGCATAAAAGCCAGACATTTCACTTGCCCCATATGTCCCTTAAGTCCTCCACTAACAGTGAAGCTAGTCAATATACGTGGAAAACAGGGTCGATCTGCACCCATACGTACGTGTGTGAATTAAGATCTCGTAAATGTTAAATGGAATAAATTATTTTTATTATTTATATATTACGAACTACAAACCCCATCACCCATAGCCACTAATATATACACTTAAAATATTCTAAAATGAATTACTCCGTTATGCACAAGCGGGATGCATGTATCATGTATGCATCACTATGCATGTATGAATGTCATAAACTCAGAATGTATATATTTTAAATATGAATTCAGCACCAATTTGAAGGCCATTGCTCTAAATTGAGGCCCGCTTTAATATAAAAGACTAAAAAAACATATTCGATCTAAATTCTTATTATACTGAAATTAAATCAGTCGAATACTCATTAAATAATGCAATTAAAAAATTATAGGTAGTAATTTTTCCATCTCAAATAATTAATAATTACATTTTTGTAAAGTGTTTCAATTTATGAGGGCATTGAGTATGAATTTAGTTGCAACCCATATTCATATACGATAGCGTACTACTCCTTTCGTCTCAATTTATTTTGCAAAGTCAACATTTTTTTGTCAACCAATAATAAAAGTCAACCCTCCTTATGAATAATTAATTCAATTTTTAATAATTAAAATTTACATATTCAAAAACTACATTAAAATCTCTTCAAAGGTGTAAACTCCAAATCAGAAAATAATTAAAAATTGACATCCTAATTAAATGAACAAAATGAGACTGTTTGACTAAGAAAAGTCAAATTTGTAACTCTTTTTGGGACGGAGGTAGTATATTATATTAATTAATTAATGTTAGTGACCTAGAAATAGTACTACTAGTGCCTTATAAGTATTGGGACCCTATGGAAAGTGAAGCTATATTCTGTTTAATCTAATTAACATGCTAAAAGACGGCTCTGATCATAATTATGTATAAATATAAAAATTAAAGAAGAAAAAGGAAAAAAAAATCAAAAGGTAGTGTTTCAGCTGGCAGGGTCATAGAGATTAGAGAACGTGTGGAGATACTTTTGAATCATGATTGGAAAGTGGTTTGTTGGATGCCAATTGTACATTTGGTCCTACGTTACTCATACTAATATTACAGGTATTATTATTATTCCTCCCGCTTAGCTAATTTAAGCCTCGATTGTGTGTACATTACATTACCGGCCGTATCGGGTGCATTTTGATTAGTGGAGAGAAAAAGAGCACGTTTTAATTTTTTAACCACGTGAAACCAGTGACCGTGTGGTGTTTTTTTTGGAACTTGACAAAATATATAATTGGAATGAGATAATTCATGCATGGTTGAGATGATTTCACCATGGACAGCCAATGTTGTTGAAATTATCATCAACTTTTGCTATAACTAATGGTTATACATAGTCCGTTTTGGTGTGGTATTTTGCCATTTTTATAAGACTTTCAATTCGATTTACAAACGCATAAAATAAGAGTGTGAGTTATGATCGACATTGTGTTTTGAAATTGTCACAAAAGGACCACTAAAATTGTGTATTGCAAAGATCTAATGACGAGATGAAACTTTCTCAGCTTTGTCACTAAATATGTCACCCTTCGAACTAAAGAACTCCGTTCAATTAAACAACTTGTATGAGAATATAATAGCTTTAGTTTTGTGATTGGAACTTAGCTTGCTTTTTGCCTTTTTTGATAAGAACCCACGTGGAAGAGTTGTTTCCCTTTGAAAAAGCTGAGCATTTGGTTTTATGTCGAGAGAACACAGTTTAAATTACATGCAACCTAAACTTGAAAGTTTTTTTGATGATCAAACGGGCCTTTATTCATATCAAAAGATTCAGGATCATTACATCAAGCAAAAGGAAAATAAAACTGACACCAACTGAAACTTTAACAACTACGACTGTAACCCTATCGTGAGACTTTGAGACGGTCACCCCTGAGAGAGCAACACGAATCGCTAACCATGTAGTGGGCTTGACACAGCCAAACCTATTCCCATAGATCCAACCATACCCAATGACATAAAGAGAGGCAAAAAACTCAAACAAACTGTCAAAATCAACAACAAAAGTGGACACAAGGAAACAAATAACAAACAAATAAAAACCACAAGAAAAGCGTTCACGAACTCTAGCACCTCGTACATCCCATGGTGGTGGTTCAGGAGGAGGTCTTACCACCGGTACCAAGCTAATTGATACTCCGTGACCTTTGTCTGCCAAAGGCCATGCATCAATCCTCTGTCTCTGCATAACCAAACACATCCCTGCTTCATGCAACCAGAGTAAACGGATAGGCGGCGCCGATCTTCTCCAACGGCGACAGTAATACATCATCCTCGAACCTTGACCACAACGCCGATCTCCTCGAGCCATGACGGCAAATCCGCCCTTCGAGTATGAAGCACAAACAACAGCAGCCGTCCTTTGATTAAAATCGAAGACGGAAAAAAACTCCAAGCGGCCAAAGCCCTAGAGAGAAGCGAGAGACGATGCATTCAATTCTTAAAACATCACCTAAACTTGAAAGTTGAAACCATTAAATCAATACGCTCATAAGCAAGAAATATACTCTAGTCTTCTAGCTTAGCTTTAATGTTGTGAAATTACTTCTTCTTAAATTATGCTTTGTTTAAAAAGTCTGGTCTTAACTTTTTCTTAACCTATGTTTTTTTTTAAATTGTCCAGTCTGTTCTGAACTAGTCTGTTCTGAACTAATCTGATCTTATTTGGGATTGAAACATGTCTAATCAAAAACATCCTTACTACGGTCTAAGTCTTGTATGCTCTTGTCTGTTTTGAAACATGTCTACTTACAAATATCCTTACTATGGTCTAAGTCTGGTATATATGCTCTTGTCTGTATGAGTTCTGGTCTTTTTAAGTATGAGATATATATATCTTGCAATTCATCGGGTCTTAGCTAACAATTACTCCCTCCGTCCCCAAATGAAGTTGAGCATTGCTTTTCACACATATTAAGGAAAGAAATTTATTGGGGGTAAATTTTATTGTTTGGGCACTGTTTGGACACTGTTTGGCACTGTTTGGCACTGTTTTGATATAAATAAATTGCCAAATAAGGAAAGGTGAACTTCATTCAGGGACTACCCAAAAAGGAAAGGGTGAACTTGTTTCAGGGACGGAGGGAGTACTTCTAGGATAGAGCTACAAATTATACGTCAATCAAGAATTCACTTTTCATCACCCGATATAAGAAAAAGACACACGAATATATATTGATACCAAGAATGTCTTTGACTCTTTCAAATTTGAGATTGCCTTTCAAATTCGAAATAAGACATCATCCTTTGATTGTGTCACAAACTATGACCATTTACAAGAGTCAAGAGGCAAGAGCAATAATCAATATCATATCCAATCTTGGTCTGTTTTTGCTAAACTTATTCTCGTCTATTGTATGTTGCTCTTTCACACGTTACCAATCGCATTGGGTTAAAAATTCTTATACACAACAAGGATGATAAAGAAATTAATCTAACAAAAAATGTTGTATGTAAGGAAGTCTGGAAGAGTTCCAGAATTTGTAATAAATTTAAAATTTCATACTCTCTCCGTTTATTGATCCTTTTCGAATTTTGCATACTCATGCATATATCGCACAAATACTTTACTAATTTCACTTTGTAGTTGCATTTTTATAGATCTTATTCTTCCTGAAATACATATTTAATATATCCCACTTCCAAAAAATCAGTTCCATTTTATATTCACTTGGCAAGATTGTCACACACACTGAAGAACATAATCTCCACGTACTCGATCACCATGTACTAGGATCCAAGGAAATTTGGTTTTGAGATTCCGAACACGTACACAAACAACACACACATGTAAAGATCATCATATTTTGGAGCATTAAAAAATACGGAGTATTAATTAACACAGAGCTAGATTTCATGTGTGCATTAAAATTGTTAATTTTAATATAGCTAGGGTCAATCATGTATTGAAGAAGTGTAAAGTAATACCACAAGGATGTTAAAACTTTTGGCACGTTGACTCAAAAGTACGTATCACTTTTCAGTATCACATTTCAATAGAAAGTAGATTAAAGACACGTTGGCGTATAAAATTATAAATTGAAACTGTGGTCATTGCATTGTAATGTCAATACATTGTAATGTCATTGCAGAATCTCACAGGGCCAATTCTTGACAAATTAGAAGGAATAATGAGGGGAAAATAAAAATTTGTTGTCTAAAACCATATTCGAATTAAAAGGGATATATATATATATATATATATATATATATATATATATAGGACTTTTCATGTCCAGCCGGCCTGACGGGAACCGCCGTCCAGCCGAGGGCATTTCGGGCACTTCCAGGTGGAATTTTTTGATGAACTTTTTTTAGCATGTTCTTCATGAAGTCTAGTTTATCCATACCAAATTTCAGCTAAAAATTCAATCGGGAAGGCACTCAAATAATTTCTTGAAATTAACTGGGCAGTTCATACATATAAACTGCCCAGTTAACTTCACAAAATTATTTGAATGCCTTCCCGATCGAATTTTGAGCTTAAATTTGGTATGGATAAACTAGATTTCATGAAGAACATGCTCAAAAAATTTCATCAAAAAATTCCATCGGGAAGTACCCGAAATGCCCTCGGCCGGACGGCGGTTCCCGTCAGGCCGGCTGGACAAGAAGACTACTATATATATATATATATATATATATATATATATATATATATATAATACATATGTGATTTAATTGATAAAACGAAAAAAGGAGAATCAGACCACATTGGAAACTTAATTAGCCCTCGTTATAGACACTGAAAAACTGATCGTAGATTTTGGAGATGACCGAAACTGTTGATAGTTTGGTCACATTTGACCTGTCAACATAATGTTGACTTTTGTGATTTCTTTTGAAAAATGTCACATTTTTATGCATGAGAAGAAATATTTCACCCCCTAATCGGTATCACCCATGAAAATCAGGAAACACAGATTCTACCAATTGTGGAGGATCCTAAGATTTAGAGCCCATTTGGTAACACTGAAATCGGCTGAATCGGCTGAAATTTCTGCTGAAATTTCTGAAGTTGTAGTTGAAGTGACTTTATTGATTGATTCTGCTAATTTATGAAAAAATTATATTTAAAATATATTTTATTAATAAAGTAAAGAAAAAATTATATGAAAAAATAGCTAAAATATCTACAGTAACTTCAGCCAATACAGCCATAAAAGTAACTCCAACCTTACCTTTTTTATTATTACACAGTTCAGTGCGCGAAATCAAAAATTACGTGTTTGGTTAAAAAGTTGGCTGATAAGCTTGATAAGCCGAAAAACAGAGTTGCCAAACGGCCTCTAAGTAACATAGATAATTGTGAGAATGAATGAGAGATCTTGGATTCAATTCCAATCTAGGGGAGATGAGGGAGATTTTTTTTCCCATGATTCTCTTGACCTTCTTTCACGGAACAGTTCAGCGGCTATTTGTTTCCCATGATTCTCTTGGCTTTCTTTCACGGAACAGTTCAACGGCTGAGAAAGGAGAGGGTGATAAAAGAGGTAACATGTTTCGTGTGGTGAGAGGAGCATTTCGGAAAAGATACACTCTTTAGAGCTAGTACTTATGAAACTGACTATGATCAAATTCGAATTTAACTGTCTCGGGAGTTTGAGGGATAGTTTATACATTCAGAATTATGATAGTGTACGCCCTAGAGGATTATAAAAAAAAATTGAATGAGAAGAGAGAGAAGGGAAGAGTTCAAATTAAATGTTCAATAATGAGAAGCGAAAAAAACCAAAAGACAAAGGAATTAAATCATCTTGTAGTAATGTTCATCCACGTAGTGTACTAGTGTACCATATCTATGTGCCGAATGAAAGAACACCTAAGATCTAATCTTAGATCTTGGCTTCCCTCCTCCGGAAGCAAAACACATACTGACACACTCTACTCCCCGCTCACTGACTCCATTAATTAATTAATTACCCCATGCTTGTCTCTTGTAACTCTTACTTAAACACCCCATCATCTTATCTGGCCTCATTCTTTTTACCGGCCTACCCCCCAATTGTCATCTCCATCCATCCTCCAGTGCAAATTGTAATTAATTAAGAATAGAAATAAGAAATCTAAGGATCACACTCCATTTCTGAGACCCCTAGCACCAGTCGGATAGTTAATTGAAAGAATGTAAATTGAACTTTAATTACAAACTGACAGCTAGAATGTGAGACTCTGGCCCCGATATTTGCAGAAACCCTATGCATTTTTACACGACCTTTATGCGTTTTTAGATAGTAACCTTTCATCGCAGTTACGGGAATATGAACTCAAGACTTACTCCTTTTGACGCTCTCTATCTACGAGTTGAGCTACGCCTGCCGTCAAGAATAGAAAGATATAATATTGTTCTTTTTGGCAACATGTCATTGTTGTTTAATAAAAAGATAAATGTTTGGAGAGTTTCTATAGATTTTCTAAAATAAACTAGCTGTTGGTTAATTAGTTATTTACTTATTTATAAGAATTTGATTAAGGGCGTGTAAAGTTTCTAAGAAAACCTTTAATTTATTAGAACTAAATTAAGTGTTCGGAGAGTTTCATCAGTATATTGAAAAATTCATTGTCGAAAAACTTGTAATAAGTTGTAATACAACCAAGTACTTAGAGTTTCATCAGTATATTGAAAAATTCATTGTCGAAATACGTTGGTTGCGTATTTAGTAGGATTTTTTCGATGATGAACCCCAAATTCCAAATAGCATCTGAATGTACTTGATCGGCCGTTATTAGTTTTCCGAAACAACCAATTCTAAAAGCAGAAATTGCCCAAAAACAATATAAAATTATATTGGGAAAACTATCAAATAAGCTCCCCAATTTTTTTAAAAAATCAATTAGACTCTCTTACTGAAAGTCCGTTCAATTAAACCCCCGAACTCTTTTAAAAATGGCAAATCTTCCTTTTAGCCGGTACTAAACAAGTTGCCCGTCTACTTTATACACGTGGTCACACACATGTCATTTTTCATTTTTTCCATTTTCTTTTTCTTTTTTCCTTTCTTTTTTCCCTTTTCCTCTGCCTTCCGTCGGTCCAGGCGTCCAGCAACTTCGTCCCTCACCCCTTTCTTCGCCGCCTTTCTTCTTTCTTCTACTAAGCATCTATCTTCCGTCGGCGTAACACTGCACATAGTCTGATAAAAAACCCAGGTTGCCAGCTCAAGTACTTACCGCATGCCGATCGTCCCCTTTCTGCGATTCGATGGATTGGAAGTCGGGGAAGATGCTCCGTCGAAGCTTCTGGGTCAGCAAGTCGGCGACGGTGCTATGTGAAGCACTGAATCCTCCAGACCACTTCCAGATCTGTAGTTTCAATTTGGACGCAGACTCTAGTTGACGGTAGAGAAGAGGCGCAAGGAGGAGGGTGAAGCTGGGAAACTACGAACATGACATTAGGGGAAGAAGAAAATGAGAAAAGAAAGAAATAGAGAAGGAAGAAAGTTGCAGAGGCGCAGGGAAGAA